ATATATTATTAGTAAATTGTCGCATAATGTGATTTGATTTTTTACGTAATAAGTAATTACCTTGCCCATCTCTAGTGGTCATGCTAGGTTCGTATTAATTTTGTAGTACTGCTAATTCAATTTGTAATGACGATAATCGATTGTAATATTTACATTTTGATTAATAATCAATTATTTTTTAATAAAGCAATAAAATTGTTCATAATATATTAATATTTTTTTCCTACTTGCAATGGATCTTTTATATTGCAATTCGTGCATAACATACAAAGCAACAGAAGTATTTGGTGACAAAAAAACTTGTTCCGAATGTTTAATACGTGTTAAAGAAAGTAAAAAGCGAAAATATAAAGAAAGTTATACTACTTTACCTGATTCTAAGGAAAACATTATTGATGTCGATAACATTATTAATGTGGTTATGACGTTCTTACAAACGTAGAAGATATCAATGAAAACTTAGAAAGTAGTCATAAATTCTATATTGAGCAAGCAGTTAGTTTGAACTTAATACTTAGCAAAATTCCATTAGATATAGAAAATGATTAATCTGAACATTATCTTGTAAATAAATTGTTAACTATGTAGAACAAGGAGACAGCTATTATTATGTATATCACATCAAGACTAGTTCACAAAAAACAAGTATAAAAACATTTTATTACTGGTGCAACTGTCATGAGGAACTTGTCTCAAAACATCATAAGCATAGTGATATTTCTAAATAGCAAAATACAGGATCATATTTAATTCGATATGCATGCGAAGGTCTTAGTGATTTTATGATTGAATATAATAACGAACATTAAAGGCAGGAGATTTGTTTGATATATTGATCAAATATATAATTAAATACAAGAATTTTTTACCAATTATTCATTTACGTGATGTTTATTCATATAATAATCTTTTGGGTACTCTTGATTATGAAAAATACTGAGTATTAAAAATGACAATATTCACGAACGTCAAGAATGCTTGAATTGCTGATATTCTTATATTTTATAAACATTAATATTTTATTTTTCATTCAATATTTTATGACGTATTACATAATATTCTAGTAATACTATGTCGCGTATTAATTATCCTATAGAATTGAGCAAAATTGATGAAAATCAACATATGATGGTTATGAATGATTCACGTAAAGATGAACATCAAGCTGTTTTCTTCAAAACCAGGATAGAAAGTGAATCAAGTGATGATAATATAAAAATAAACATTAAAGGCAGGAGATTCATTTAACATACTGATCAAATATATAAAGCAGACATACACATTAAATACAAGGATTTTTTACCAATTATTCATTTATGTGATGAATTACAATAACATTTATTCATATAATAATCTATTGGATACTCTTGATTATAAAAAATGGCGACAGTATTAAAAATAACAATATTCACGAACATCAAGAATGCTTGAATTGCTGATATTCTTATATTTTATAAACATTAATATTTTATTTCTCATTTAATATTTTATGACATATTACATAATATTTTAGTAATACTATATCGTGTATTAATTATCCTATAGAATTGAGCAAAATTGATGAAAACCAACATATGATGGTTATGGATGATTTGCATAAAGATAAACATCAAGCTGTTTTCTTCAAAACCAGGGTAGAAAGTTAATCAAGTGATGATAATATAAAGATAAACATTAAAGGCAGGATATTTGTTTGACATACTGATCAAATATATAAAGCAGACATATACATTAAATACAAAGATTTTTTACCAATTATTCATTTACATGATGAATTACGTTTATTTATAATAATCTTTTGGGTACTTTTAATTATGAAAAATAGTGATAGTATTAAAAATGACAATATTCATGAACACCAAGAATGCTTGAATTGCTGATATTTCTTATCTTCCTTATATTTTACAAACATTAATATTTTATTTCTCATTCAATATTTTATGATGTATTATATATTTTAGTAATACTATATCATGTATTAATTATTCTATAGAATAGATATTGCTATAATTGATAAATGTAATTTTTAAAACTTGTGTTTAGGCATTTCTCTGGGAATCGTCATTCTCCATTCAATACAATATTATAAAAGAGTCATATTACACTAGTAACTCAAATTAATTATAATGCCAATTTTTCTAAACATCACCTATTAAAATAAATAATCTCGCCATATTAAAGTGTTTAAAATTATGTGCAGTAAAATATGTATAGTTTAAAATAAACTTGCATATTGTTTCTGCATGAACTTAGTTTATTTATAACTACTGAAATGGTTTTAATTTACAACTTGAGTGTTCGAAAGTGAAAAAATCGCAAAACAATATTGACACTATCTGATTCTTATATAAGTACTTATGGGCATAAAATTGGTTCTCATTTAAAATAACATGGCAATACATATCGATTTGTATTGTAATTTACAGTTCACTTCTCTAGGTGTAATTAATAATGTCGTTGTGTTTGATAGTAATTATGGCTACTAAGATCTAACTCAAAGGTGAAGCACCGTGTAAAACAAAACCCTGATTTCGTTAGGTAGAATTTTTAAATAAAAATTCACATTGAATAAATCTATTTTATTGACAAATAGAAATAAAGATGTTGACGATTGTATTAAAGAAAAGCCACAAAATATGAAGATGTAATCGAATAGTCAAAAAAAGTAATTTTGCAATCCACTATTAGACAATATGACACAGACAGTTCACCAATTAGGTAATACAAATTTATTTTATCTTAATACAAAGTTACGACTTAATTGCGTTTCTTTTTGAATTTGTTAATAATCATATGTTTAACTATTCTTATATAAGGATGTTTATTAGGGTGTGGGTCCTATAGCTTAGCGGTTAAGCTCCCATGCTCCCACAGTCAAGGTCAACAGTTCAAGTCCAGCTGGAGGCAAAATTAAAAAGATTTTAGCCTCTGTAACCCAATAAGAAGCCAGTAATTGAATGCGAAGCCCTGTGGTTAAGTCCAAGTGCA